TTTTTTTTTTCCTCCAAAAGACACTCAAATAGTCAAATGAGAAAATATACGTTTGGTACAAGCACGATATCACAGCGGTTCCGCCGGTGTGGGAGGCAAGTCGACTGTTGTAAATATTTTCCGAAGCAGTATCGAAAGATTTGACACCGGGTCGTGTCTCTCGAGGAAAGTTAGTCGGATTATTTAGCACGTTTATTCAAACACAATTAAAAGAAATAAAATACCTAAACATACTAATTCAAAGTTCGGATGGTTTTAATTACCAACTACTGCAAATAATTAAATAAAGCAAAAAAAAAAAAAAAATAGCAAGCGAACACGTAGAACAAATAGGATTTAAGGAGCTATTTGAACTCAAATATTTAATCGCACCTCGAAGGCAGTTTAAAATACCATAAATCCTAGGTTTTAAAGCAGCAAAACAAAGGTTATATATAACTCAGCCCCATTCTCTGCACAGAAACTCGGATTTTCTTGAAAATGAAAAGGCTCTACTTCAAACCGATTAACCCGATTTTTGAAACACGACTCGAGGCCTTTTAAGACACCAATATACCATTTTTTTTAACTTCATTTGTAAGGGTCTAAAACTCAGAAATTGCTGCATATAAAACATCAACTCAATTCATATTTTTGGGACCCGGCAAGGATCCGAATAAGGCGAATATATATAATCCCGGTTTTCACATACAACTCAAGGGTGCTCTTAGGACTCAACCTACCAGGTTTATAAGCATATTTAGGGCTGCTAATATTCAGAAAAAACGCAGCAACAAATTCTCAGATTTTTTTAAAATAAACGAGGCCCGAAACTTCGGCAATTAATCTCGGGTTTTTGCAAAACTATGGGGCACTAACCGAACCAATAACCCAAGGCTTAAGCATGATAACTCAAGACATTTTGAGCACAAAAACAGAGGTCTAATACCCCAGAATACTCAGCTAATTTGCAGCACTTGATCTCAGATTTTCGAAAATGAAAAAGGGGCTCAAAATTTCGGCAAACAGCTCTTTTTATTTATTTTTTTTTTTTTCGCTCGAGCTAAAGGGCACTTGACTCGACCCTTTTAACCCCATAATTTTACTTATAAACCAGATATATAAGCATAGAACCAGAGGTTCGAAATTCAGAAAAAAACGCAGCTCATAAACTCAAATTTTCGAAAACGATGAAAAGGCTCAAACAAGGGCACTTTAGCATGACTTCCCAAACGAGTTAAAACCAATTAACCCATCCCTTTTTAAACATCAAAATATAAATTTTCCGAGGCAATATGATATCCTAATCGAGAATTCAACATCATTAATAATAACTCAAATAATCACAACCCTTAAATTCTATTCAACTCAAATACTTGAGTGAACCCTAAGCCCTAAATTAATCCTTCATTTATAACTCATAAAATAAAAGAGAGTCCAAGCCTATTACCTCCTTCGGGAATACGAATGGAACAAATATCTGAAAAACTAAAATCGAACGAGCCTCGGACGATGATAGTCGGCCTCAGCTCTCCGCTGCTCTCACACGGTACTCGCGAACAACTCCTGTTGCGCCAATCACGACCATGGCTGGTTGCTCACGGTAAGGAAAGGGTCGAGCGCTAGGCTGATTGACCTCGGTTGTCCGTTACTGGTCGTGAACAGCGCGGTGAAAGGCGTCTTGATGCTGCTCGAAGGTTCTGATGGCAGGAAAACGGACCAACGGGGCTGTGACTCGCGGTCACTTGATGCCGATGGGAGAGGGGAAGAGAACGACGAGAGAGTTGAGAGATTTAGAGTGCCGGCGACTGGGAGAGTTCTCTCTTTTTTCTTCTGAACGATGAGAGAGAGCGAGAGAGAGAAGCTTTTTCTCTTTTCTGTTATGATGAGGGCAGCGAGAGATCGAGAGTTGGAGAGAAAAAAGCTGCGTGTGAACGTATGAGAGGAGAGAGGAGAGAGGAGAGAGGAGGGTTCTGCTTGGTTAAAACAAAAAGAAAGGTTTGGGAAAAAGTAAGGTTTGGGAAATCTTGAAGGCAATTACATTGCAATTAAAAGGTAATTAAATAGAGATTAAATTTCCTAATTAAATGGCCATTCAATTAATTCAAAGAGGAAAAGAGAGGAAGCCAGTTATACTGTACGAGCCGGGTTTAAATTCCTCGGTTAAATTCTTGGTTCGACACTAACGAATATTGGGGCTCGGTTCGATAAAATAAATAACGAAAATATATATATATAATATATAATACACACAAATAATATTTATTTAATAATAATAAGCATTTACATATAATAACAATTAGGCAATTTAGACACTCAAATACAAATTAATAATAATAATGTCAATATAATAATATCTGATAATAAATCCAATAATCGAACGGGTTAAATCCGAACTACGCGATTAAACTGAAATCGCCGAATAACGAACGTTTTTCAATAAAACGATTGAGTACTCCAACCTTTATTTAAGTCGACATCGCGACTAATAAAATAAATATAATCTCATAAATAATATTCGATAAATAGAATATTCCGAGAATTTCTATAAATCGAACGGGACGTTACAAGCAGGTCACGAATAGCCTCTATCGAGCCACCACAGTGCCGACCACTGTGGCAGGGGCACACCAGAATGCAGAGGAAGATGAATCCAGTTACGGGGGAGGTGGAGCCCCGCAGGATCGAGAGATGGAGAGGATAGCTGAGCAGCTGCGCCAACTGCAGGCCAAGGTGGATGTTCGAACGGAGAGACGCGCTCGAGGACATCCGTTCTCGAGATATATACTAGTCGCGCCTTTGCCAGCAGCTCCCCCCAGAGAAGTTGATAAATCAATATTCGAGCGCTGTGGCCCAGGAGAAGACATATTTAACCCTGATGGCGATGAGGCAGGGCGAGAAGGAGTCACTGAGCAAATATGTAGCTCGATATAACCAGGCTTGCTTAGAGATCCCGTCGGCGGTCGATGAGGTTAAGCCAGGAGGCCTGATTAGAAGTTTGCGAGCGGGGCCATGTCGGACTTCTTTGGCCAAGAACCCAGCTCGTACTTATGATGAGTTGTTGAAAAGGTGCAGAAAATATATTAATCTCGAAGAGACTGAGGTGGAGTTTGCCAAGTTGGAGGAGTTGGGTCGTGCTGAGTCAAAAAAGGAGAAGGCAGTTTCGCCGAAAAGGAGAGGTTTGCCCAGGGAGGGGCGAGCTAAGTCGGATCGAGGGCGTGAGGATAGGTGGAAAGGTCGACCTATCTCCGGAGGGAAGAGGTTCCATGGTTATACCCCATTGAACGCAAAGGTGGCTGAGGTTTTGGCGGCTATGGAGAAGGAGATTGATGGGAAGGATGTGATGTGGCCCAGGTCGAGGTTCGAGGGGCCCACTCAGCCTAAGTCGAGGAGATATTGCTGCTTCTATAAAGATTATGTTCATACCACCGAGGATTGTCGACACCTCAATGTCGAAATCGAACGCCTTATTCGAGCAGGGCACCTCAAGGAGTTCGTTTACCAGGATAAGGCGAGGGGAAAAGAGAAGAGGAGGTGCCACGAGGAGTCGGTGGAAAGGAGTGATCGCGACGATGATGATGAGGACAATGCTCGAAGAGGTCGAGATGGTCGAATGAAAGATGAAGGAAAGAGGAGGCGAGGAGTTGGAGACAGAGAAAGGCAG